ACTTTATTTTTAATGACGTTCCAGCTGATGAGGTAAAACATTGTCCGTCTGTTTGCTTTATTTCACTGAGGATTGTTTTGTGAACAAGACTGGATTTGCAGACCGATTAAGAGTAAAGAACGGTACTGTGCCGTCTATATTGGATCTGACAGGAATGGTGCAACACACGGACTCTGTGTCGAACATGTATGGGCGAATCATTCTGGTTGCCATTTTACAACATTGGACGTTTTCAAAACAATATCCCCCAAGTACACCGATGGGTGAGTTGAAACTCATATAATATGCAAAACTGTTATCCACTCACAGCAGTGGGCGTTTACTTCCAAGTCTTCATAAAACCGAGTGTTTTTCAGCTAGGCTCAAAACTAGGGTAGAAAATAGCCTATTACTTATTCATTTGGATGTTTTTGAATGCAAAAACCAAGCGAATGTCATAAGTTGACCTCAGACAACAATATAATAAAATTTAAAAAGCCAGTTCATGACGCCTTTAAGAAGGATGCGGTTAGTTTATGTCATACCTGGTTTGAGACACTTGACAACAGATAGTGGTGACAGTTCTGTTGGACAGTCTCCCAAAAAGCTATTTATCAGTCTCAAACATTACCATCCTAACAACAAAATGTGTACAAGAAAAAATATATATATATCTTATTATGGACTATTCCATTCAGAGACAAAAACAGTAGCTACAGTTTTTAAACTGATGGGGTCAAAAGCAATAGTTGAGCACCTTATGAAGCATAAACACAAGCTCTGTTAAATAAAATCAGATTGATCAGAGATCATAAACAAAAGCTCAAACCAAACCGGCATGACACGTTATTACGAACCTCATTGGTTCTTGCAGAAGTTCAAACGTGATGCGTAACACGAGAATGAACCTCATTGGTTCCTACTGAAGCTCAAATGTGCTGCGTAACACGAGAATGAACCTCATTGGTTCTTGCAGAAGCTCAAACGTGCTGCGTAACACGAGAATGAACCTCATTGGTTCTAACAGAAGCTCAAATGTGCTGCGTAACACGAGAATGAACTCTTGGTTCTTGCAGAAGCTCAAACGTGCTGCGTAACACGAGAATGAACCTCATTGGTTCTAACAGAAGCTCAAATGTGCTGCGTAACACGAGAATGAACCTCATTGGTTCTTGCAGAAGCTCAAACGTGCTGCGTAACACGAGAATGAACCTCATTGGTTCTAACAGAAGCTCAAATGTGCTGCGTAACACGAGAATGAACCTCATTGGTTCTAACAGAAGCTCAAATGTGCTGCGTAACACGAGAATGAACCTCATTGGTTCTTGCAGAAGCTCAAACGTGATGCGTAACACGAGAATGAACCTCATTGGTTCTTGTAGAAGCTCAAACGCGTTGCGTAACACGAGAACAACAAGTTTATCATGCGGATTTGCCGCATTGACCAACAGAAAGCCGTTTAGTTCTGTGTGAGCTGTGCTTCATACATCAGTAGACTACTGACAATAGACAGTGGACGTTTTTTGCTTGTGAAATTTTGCCTAAATCTTCCTTATGTGACCGCATCTTTAAAAGGCAGCATCATTTAGTAGCATCCTTCATTGTTCGAAACTTCTGTTTCTGATTATCTAAAAATACTCTTTATCTAAAGATTATATTCACAGTTCACAGACATGGTGGCGCATTTACAGTACATTTTGACATGTGATATCAATGCCCACAAGCCACCAATAAAACAAACAATAGACATGTTCAGTACATACAGCTTCCTGAGGTGAGCCTACCATCACAGGACAGTCTTGTGAGGAGTTTACCGGCATGATCATGCATTTACAAAATCACTGCTCTGCTTGGCTTTAGCGCGCCTGCACTCCTATCAGCTGACTGAACTGAGCCTAGACAGTGGAAACATTTTTGAAAGCCACAACAGATTATAAACTTTAAACTTTGATTATGAAATTTGAAGCTTATAACTTTTATTTTCTCCAGCTCTATGCACATTATAGATACAAACACAAGCGCACACACCCTTTGGCAAACTCTTCTGTGGATAGCGAGCCACAGGGAGTGGGCCGCATGCCAGACTTACCGCACAATACTGAGTATCTTTAATGAGACCCAGACCAGAGCACAACACACCAGAATATAGGCCTAGCTATATGCAATAACAGCTGAGCGACCATTTAACATTAAAAAATACCTTCCCATAATCTTTCAACTATAGAAGACAGAACATAGGCTATAGTACACTGTAGAATTATAATTCTTTGGTTCAAACATAACATTGCAAGTTACTTGCAGACAAAAAAAAAAGTCTACAATTAGGCATACCATTGTGACTTTGGGTAAGGTAACAACATGGATTTTGGTATTCCTTTTTTAATGCTAATTTTAAAAAAATGGAATTGCAAGTACGAAACAGAAATGACATACCAAAATAAAGGGCTGTTCACACCAACATGAATATTGGGTATGGAAATTCAGTATGATTTTCAAATTTGATTTGTCTGTTCCCATCAAGCAATTTGTCTAATAGCCGCCCAAACACACTAAAGAAGTCTAACCATATAGCTCAAGAGTAGACGTACAGGCTAAACATAGAACATATCAAATAAATTAAACCAAACCTTGTAATCACTGTTGACTTTGCCGACATAATGGAATATCATACATCTCGTAAATAATTTTTAACAAAAACGACATGTAACCAAATTCAAGGTTATTTTGGCTAGAAGTGTTTCGGCTCAAAGCCGTCCTAAATCGTTAAGGTGAAGGTGAAATGACTGCTATTGCTTGGGTTGGGTCAATGTGTAAAAAATGGCAGACGAATATGAATGAATAAAAATGCGAATTCACTCTCTGGCAATAGGTGATGCTTTTAGAAAAGCAAAAATACCATAGATGCCCTGGTACTCAAAGCGCCGTGCAATGTTCAGCTGTTCAGTCGCTTATCAAAAATAATTGAGCAACATACTAAAGCCGGGTCAAACTGTACGATTTTGGCCACGATTTGGCCCTCTGGATAGGGTGAAGCGGGTAGGATGAAAATCAGTACCTCCAAATCCGAGGCCATGGTCCTCAGTCGGAAAAGGGTGGCTTGCTCACTTCAGGTTGGTGGAGAGATCCTTCCTCAAGTGGAGGAGTTCAAGTATCTTGGGGTTCTGTTCACAAGTGAGGGAAGGATGGAAAACTTTGACAGACGAGATCAGTGCAGCTTCTGCAGTAACGCGGTCGATGTACCGGTCTGTTGTGGTGAAGAAGGAGCTGAGCCGTAAGACGAAGCTCTCGATTTACCGGTCAAATCTACGTTCCTACTCCTACTCTCACCTATGGTCATGAGCTTTGGGTCATGACCGAAAGAACAAGATCCCGGATACAGGCGGCCGAAATGAGCTTTCTCCGCAGGGTGGCTGGGCGTCCTGTCAAAGATAGAGTGAGAAGCTCGGTTATTCGGGAGGAGCTCAGAGTAGAGCCGCTGCTCCTCCACATCGAGACGGGTCAGCTGAGGTGGCTTGGGTATCTGTTATGGATGCCTCCTGGACGCCTTCCCGCGACAGTTTTCTAGGCTCGTCCCACTGGGAGGAGACCACGGGGAAGACCTAGGACACGCTGGAGAGACTATGTCTCCCGACTGGTCTGGGAACACCTCTGTGTCCCCCCAGAAGAGCTGGAGGAAGTGTGGGCATCTCTGCTTAGGCTGCTTCCCCACGACCCGGCCCCAGATTGCGGAAGAAGATGGATGGATGGATTTGGCCGTCTGACTGATGCAAATCATATTTGTTGGCCAGAATTAATCGCAGTGTGATGGAAAAAAGATACACTACGTTACACCTCTTCATAAAAATCATGTCGCTTTGGCGGCATGCAAATGTTCATATATGTATGAACAGACCAATAAAATGTTCATCGCACCAAATTTTCTCACCGAACTTCCAGCTTGGTGTGAACAGACCTTATACTATATAAAATGCAAAACCTATGTCTTGTACAAAATTACTGGAACCTTGGCTGCCTTAAAGGGCAAATGAAGCAGCCAATCAAGTTTATGATTTACAAGATGGATTTCCACTATAATGAACAATTATATAAGAAACATGACAAATGTAAACATATAAAAGAAAAAGGGAAAAAAAACGTTATATCTTTCGCTGCCAGGGCGCCGCCATTGTGCAGTATTCTTACATGTGAAGTCATGGGGTTGGTTGGCTTTAGTTTAACAGGCTCTGGGCAGTGAATATCCCAACATCAAACTGTTTACACCACAGTGTTTTGACCGCGAACAACTAATGTTAGGTACAGTCATTATTAGCTAACAGCTAAGCATGAACTAGCTAATGATATCTTAGTGTTTAGCTAACTTAGTGAAGTTTATTAGTACCAGACAAAAAGGCGACGATGTTGACAAACTGCACATAGAAACATTGTTCACGATGTCTGCCATCATATTCCCGATTATAGTGGAAATTGTTGATTATAGTGGAAATCCATCTTGTAAATCATGTACACTTGATTGACTGCTTCATTTCCCCTTTAAATAATACCGTTAATCATGATTTATTGTCTGTTGGAAGGACTGTTTCCAGGAGCTGATGGAAGCATGACATGACCTTAGATCTCACCTCCTGACGGTGCCAGAACAAGGGTTGCTTGTTCAGCCATGCTAACAACCGCAACCATCATACTCAGATATATGTTATTAGTTTCAATTTGGACACTATAATTGTAAGAACAAAGTAGGATGTAACACTTGTAACATCACCGCAGAGCTCAGATTGTGAGTGACGTTCTAAATTCTCCACATCCACTCAGACCTCTTTGATTTTGGGGTTGGTTGCGTCATGAAGTAATTAACAAACATGCCACAAACAGATGCCCCATCGTCTTGGATGGCCTGGTGCGCAATTCAGAACATCTGCTTCCAGGCATTTCATTAGAGCCCCATTTCTCTGCAGGGAGAGCACCACCAAGAGTACTTCAGGGAGAGTCAGATTTCCTCAAAAGGCTTGGTTTAGGGTGGGGTTAGAAGAAGAGAACTGGACGTTATGAAACATGGAGACACACAGCTGTTTCTGGAGAGTATCCCACTGTCGTGTCACGGCAACCCGCTAATCCCCTTACATACTTGCCGCCCAGGCCAGACGGAACCCATCCGTGGCGCTGCTACATCTGGTGGAACCAAACAGCAGAATAATTTTGGCTGACGCTACGAGAGGCACGGGTCAGGGGCCCAGACGCGGGTCTGACGGCCGCCTCTGTCTCGCTGCAGGGAGAAAGGGGGGAGGAGCGGAGGCGGGATGAGATGATCAGTTCAACCCTGGTGAGTGGAATTAAACAATGGCTTCATGTGATGAATCCAACCATCCCTGTACTGTAGTGGCGACACACCTCACAGGAGCTCATGCACACTAATGAGATTACTCTTGCTCCAGAGTCTTTCCCAAGTGCATGCTGCTTTATTAGTGTACGAGTGGGCCATGGTCTCATTTTTGGCACTCTTGGAGTTATGCGCTCGGGAACGATTAAAATTCGAACGTGCAAACCTTGCTTTGAGACAGCTGCATGCAATCAGCAGCTCCGCGGAGCATGATATGAATAACAAATCACTTAATATCCAAGGACACATGAACTTAGAGAAAATCGCCATTCTATTCCAGGAAGTCGATTCTTTGGTATCTGAATCCAGAACACACATACCAGACACGCATATGCAAGACAAACACACATCTTTGGTTTTGTGATACTGATCTCTCCTTCTCACCTATGTGGTGATGTTGATCTCTCTCACCTTTTCTTTTTACATGCGCATAAAACATATGGCAGCTATTTTCATCACGTACAGAGACTTTCTTCCGCTCCTGCTTTATATTTGCTTTGGAGAATCTCCAAAGATTCTTGTTCTTCTCTGTACTTTTATAACAATGCTTGGAGTTTTAGACCTGCATTCGGACCATGAATTCAGCATATCAAAGCACTTATGCACTAGGTAGATGCTTTTACCATACAGTGCATTCAAACTGCAAACACAGTACGCTGAAGAAACACCCTCACCTTCAAAACGAATGCATTTATATGGAAGCACAATGAGCAGCTAATGTGATCTTTAGATGCAGGTATGCACTCTTGTTCTGTGAACTCAGATTTTAGATTATTGCATTAAGCCGTTTTAAGGCTGACATTCGCTGTGTCATTGTATGGTAATCAAATGTTCAGCGGGAAGGATTTTAGCTCTGTCAGTTGAAACACGACTGGATCTCCCTGGTCTTTTAATATGTCGAACACTGACAGTCCAAACACTGACCTTTTAATCAGGACATGTGGTTATGGTCTCCCTGGCAACTGTGTTTCTGTTATATCCAATTCAGTTTGAAGACCTTTTATCTCAGAGGGAACACGAAATGTTTCTAATATAATGTTTTGAAGGAGATTTCTCTTAAAGGTGACGAGTGTATTTTTGGAATTCCATTTGATGGGCCAAAATGAATTATTTTTTTTCCCACTTCCTAAAGCTTGAGCTTGCATAGCTAGCAGGGTGTGTACGCCATCGAGCCTCATATTTAGAATGCCTTTTCATATTCAAATGGATGGTTTGGGATTGGATGGAATTGATAGATGGAGAGAGAGAGGGAGGGGGAGAGGGGATGGATGGATGGTATGGAATGGTTGGATTAATATGGGATGAAGCGAGTGAGGGAAGGAAGGATGGATATGTATGGTTCTGATGGGGTGAGATGGAATGGTTTGGGATGGATGAGGGATGAATAGATAGAGAGAGGAATGGAGGGAAGGAAGGATTGGATGGGATGGTTTTGGATGGATGGATGGATGGATGGAGAGGGAGGGAGAGAGAGAGAGTATGGATGGGTATGGGATGGACAGAGAGAGGGGTGGAAGGAAGGGAGGATTGGATGGATGGAGAGAGGGAGGGAGGGAGGCAGGGAGGGATGGGATCACTAGATACAGTGCCACCTATTTGTATTTATTCTATATTTCACCATATTTAAAGGGACACTCCACCTCTGGAAAGATGAATGTGTATTTAAAATGGGTCATTTGTGTTGAAGAAATGTGAATTATTTTTGAATTTGGAGCTTTCTAGACTGAGAAAAGCCAGAAAATTTATTTTGGCTTATGTGGATGAAAGACAACAACTCCCAGAATGCACTTGCTTCGCTGCCCTAGGAGGCCACACTTACCGGTAACGGAGCGCAGTAGTTAAACAACAAGTCTAGGCTACTAGTGAGTCTCCGTGATGAGTCTGCCCCGAAAATGTGTTTCGAGATCGCCCAAAATGTCCGGGATTCGGCTTTCGCGTTCTACAGTCGCTATTCATCATGTTTACTGTGGCGAGCAGGACGAGTGAGGGCCACGAGAGAACGACGTGAGACCGGTGGCGTGATTATCGATGAGCGACACCTGTGAGATGCACCGGTCTCGTATCTCTCACGGAGGAGCGGGAATTTTCTTAGCAATGTTAAAACGGACATTAACCGATCACTTGTTTAGTGTTCATGTAAACACTACATTCAGATTCACCAATCGGAATGAATTCAGTTAGATTGAAACAAAGGCTGTGCATGTAAACAATCAGACAGCCGGACATCGACAGCCGGACATGTCCAGGAAAAAGAGGACCGTAACCCCTAAAGTTACTAGTCGGCTTAGCTTAGCTTAGCTTCCAGAAAACAGATGGCTGACACTATGTGTAATCCCAATCCTCCATAATGCATCCGTCTGCTCATTCAGCTTCGTCCATATTTTCAAAACGTTTCTGCCGGTGAAATCAGACGCACTGGCACTGATCTGTGATTGGTCTGTTAGCGCATTAGGCCCAACCCCCTACGGGCGGGTTTGAAAGGGTGGGAACTAGTGCTTGTAGTCTTTACAGAAATCCCCCGCTCTTACACTTCCTCCTACAATGAAGTAAAATGACGATTTTTGCGTCATTGTAGGAGGAAGTGAAAAAGGTAAATAGCAGATTTACATTCAATAGTATAAGTGGGTTTCTAACAATGGAAAGCTTAATGCAAATGGGTGGAGTGACCCTTTAATAAAGTAGCATTTACGGAAGGACTTTTTCCCCTAGAATGCATAATGTGTGTTAAATTCATTTGAATTAATTAGTAAATATTAGGGCTGTGCAAAAGTTAATTGCGATTAATCGCATCCAAAATAAAAGTCTGTTTTACATAATATATTTGAGTGTGCTGTATATAATTATTTTGTATATATAAATACCTATGCATGCATGTATATATTTAAGAATTATTTGCGCTTAAATTGTGTATATATATATAAATACATAATCCATATTATATAAATATAAATATTTTATATAGGAATAACACATTTTCTTAAATATATACATGCATGTGTTTGTATTTATATATACAAAATAATCATATACAGCACACACAAATATATTATGTAAACACAGACTTTTATTTTGGATGCGATTAATCGCAATTAACTTTTGCACAGCCCTATTAAATATCTCTTTCCGTCAATTCGATTTACATTTCAATTCAACTTCTTGTGGGGTGTGGTCATGTAAGTTCTTAGTGCTTAACTGAAATGGAGTCATTTATTTTATTTTGTTTCATATTTGCACAGTGTTTTAGGCATATTAGTCATCTCTTTATACTTTATACTTTTGTACTTTATACTTTATTAGTCCCATTGCTGGAACATTTGTCTTACATACAAACAACAGACATACTAAACGAATAGAAACAAGTGAAACTAAAATATCAGTACATACAATATCACTTACATTAAACAAAATAGAGAGTATGTGAAATTAGCACATGTAAGGCACCCTGGCAATTCACAGTATTTTATCTCTATTTAACACATTATTTGCAGTAGGAACAAAGGATTTTTTCAGTCTATTAGACCTGCACATCAGGACCCTGTAAATCCTTCCTGAAGGTAATAATTTAAAATAGGCATTCAAGGTATAAAATTGAAGCCATGAACAGTGAATTTTATACTACACATGTGATAGGAGAAAATAAAAACATCCAAAAAACACAAACTTCACCTTTAACATACAGTAAATAATAAATGGTGATTTATAGGGTAATTCCTTCTCTCAACAAAAATAAGTGATAATGTTAAAGCAACAAGAAATGAGCATGTGACATAATAGTATGTGTACAGCAGGAATCAGCAATGTCAAGAGGTTTTCACTTATACAATAAAACAGCCTTAAACCCAATATATATTTAAGTGGATTGGGTAAGAGCGGATTATAGTGGAAGCCTATGCGCTGCTCTAGTGGCTCTCACAAAAACTGCAAACGTTGACCAGCTAAAAAAAAGAGCTTTGAATGATTTATGTGCGTAAACCCACGATGATGATGGTGGTGCAGGAGAAGGTTCACGCTGGCCGCTTGCAGATCAGCAGACTGGGAGCGGACCAGAGAACAATGTGTTCCCGTCTGGTGTTTTTATCAGACAGGAAGCGCTCTGACCGAATGGTGGCCACAACAAAGGAGTGACAGGAATCCCTCGCACTTAAAAACAGGATGTTATTCTTAGACCACGGCGCTGGAACTCCACCTATTTTATGATGGAAGGGAATGTGCGCCAGAAACCCTCATGGGGCAATATAGGAAAATATAATGTGGCCCATAAAAAACACAGTTAAAGAATGATGGCAGAAGGGGATGTTATTGAAATGGCTATATTACGGGGTTGATTTCAGGTCAGCCTTCTACACTTCTACGCATAATACACGGCAGGCCTATGAGAGGTTGTGCAGAGACAGCAGAGATACACACAGCTGCCAAAATGTCAAAAGATACCGCAACCCCTGGATCGCAATTTGGATACGCGTGCCAGGGTCGGTCAGGTTCACTAACATGAGGAATGTCTCTGAGCATTGCAAGCCTCTGAGGGACACGGTAGTGTGACGCGCATGTGGAATGGAGCCATTTGTGTTTGTGTGTGTGTTAAAGTGCTGTATACGTGCTTTCACTCGAGTGTCTGTGTGAATGAATGCCTCTTGATGAATTACAAAATCCACGTTTTGGCTAGGCTGGTTGTTTTTTACACAAGAGTAATCCGACAATTACAGCTTTTATCTTTGTGCTTGAGTACCATCTGACAAACAGCGGCTGTTCTGTCCCTTCCAGTTTGTTTAGATCTCAGAGCCAAGAAGACTGAATCGAGGATACACCCTCCAAGAGAGGAGATTATTCATTCGGCGCGGGGAGGCACAGATGCTTATCAGGAGACTTCTGGCTCGCCACACACCTCATCTGAGGGTAAATAACGCACCAACGGCAGTCACCACCGGTGACTACATCATTTACAGGGAATCAAAGGTTTGCTGGCTCATATTGAAGAAACTTAAACGGGCTGGGGTAGACCCTGATGGTTGGGTAAATTGGACCATGAAAAAAGCCTTATGTAGACTACTAATCAGGCTTCAAATTTGATTTCCACTGCCAAAAAAATGTTCTCAACCATTTACACATCGTTCCAAACATATCCTTCCTTCCATGGAACTCAAAAGGAGACGTTTTGAATAACTGCACGGTGTCTCCATGCGATTTGAATAGAGCCCAGAATCTGTAGCTGAATTGAAAACAGTGACTTGACAGATTTTTTTAAAGCTGTTTTATGGTAAATGTGATTTTACATCTTTGTTGATCCTGACACAACATTCGAATCAACCAATCAGATTTGAGGGACAAGTTTAAAGTTAATGTCAAGTTTGGCTTACAACCAGGATTATGTGTTTATACATCAGTGTTGTTCACCATAATTTCCCTATGTTTTATGAGTTATGGATAGGGTTAGGGTTAGGGATAGAACTAAATTTTCAGGCAGAAAGGTTGGACAGGATCAACAAAATATTACCTCAAAAAATCACTTTCATTAAAAAAAAAGAAATGAATAGGTTTATTCAACAGGAATGCACTGAATAAATTGATCGACATTTAGGCCGTGTGTCCACCGAAGCTTTTTTCCATGCGCCTGGCGTATGTTTTCAATAGTTTTCCGTGTTTTTTAAACGGCATGAGCGTAACGTGGCGCTGAGCGTTTTTTTTTTATTTTTTACAAGAGTTGAAAAATGTTAAACGCAGCGCTCATAACTGTCACTTTTTACCCACCCGTCCAATCACAATGGAGGAGGGGCGGGATTAATACCTAATAACATTCTTTCTGTAAAAAAAAAACACCCCCCTCACAGTTGTCAGGTCCCTTTTGGGACCTCCCTCTAGCGGATTTTAGATGTATTGCAGTTTTTCGCACTTCCGGGTAGGCTTAATTTTTCTGATTATAATGTTGCCACTTGGTTTTATCCAAAGTTGAAAATTTTTCAACTCTCGGCGACCAGTAAAAAACGCTGGGTGGTCGGCGCTTCAGCGTGAAAAAAAGCTTGTTGCGCCTTCCATTGAAAACAATTGAAAACATATGCCAGGCACGTGGAAAAACGCTTTGGTGAACACACGGCCTAATGGTTTCTACAAAAACATTAAACTGTTTTTAACATCTTATTCATCAAATGTAAACATCACAACAAATCTGCATATATGAAATATTTCTGGAGGATCATGCATGTGACACTTGAAGACTGATGTGATGATGCTGAAAATTCAGCTAATAAATCATTTTAAAAATGCTTACACGAATTCCCACTGCAACATCCATTTTAAATAAGGTTAATGTTAATGTTGATCATTATATTTAGTTATTTGTATATATTTTTTTTTTTTTCTAAAGGTGTTTGCTTAAGAACAATTGTGTCTTTGTTTGATATAGACTATGTGATGTGAGCCTTTTTCCTCAAGACACATTTCTATCACTGGTTTTTGTTGATAGACAATAAAGTTTTTGAATTAACAATTCCCCATCAGTTGTCTCAGACGCAGGCAGAAATAGACGCAGACACAGAGGATCAGGACACACCTGCAGCCCGAGACGGGGAGAGAGGACCTGCTTCATGTGGGTCCCTCAGGCTGATGGTTCCCAGAATGATCTGACAGGATGACAGGCCTCAGCATGACACCAGCCTAAAATAACCACACAATGTCTCCACATGTGTGCTTTATAGTGTGATTCTCATTAGAGGTGTTTGCTAAGGCAAGCGTCACTTTCACTGTCACTTATAATTAGTGTTCGGGATCTGAACAAACCCCTATTCTACGCAGTTTGTGCTACATAAATGATTCCTCAAATCATAAATCTTGGACTGACAGTGTACAGTAGATCCGACTAAAGCCTGATAAAATCCAGGAGAGAGGGGGAGGGCGGTTCATCGTGTGTCGGGGTGAGGAAGAGTCAAGCTGTCCGTGAACCTAATCTGTACCACAGCATAATGGGTTTACAGAGGAATACACAGCCTAAGAGCTTAAAGGCATGTTAGGAGCGATCAGATTGTGCCTTGTTGCTGGGTGTGGACCGAAGTGTTTGTGGAGCAACAGGGCTAACTTCCATCCCAGAAAAGACATTGTAAAAGATGAGCTTGATGATTTTAATCCACACCCTTTCTCACAAATATAGCGTACAAAGACCATGGCAACTTCGTGCAAACCGGACGGCAAGCAGAGAGCATCAAAGGCACAGTCACGTTTGATCTCTCTCCTCAGGAAATACCAAGGAAAATTGCAGTGCACCCTACACAGTGTCCATGCACTGTTCCCTATCCACTTCAGTTTGTCCCCTTTGAATGTTGTGAAACGTCACAATGAAATTTACTGTGAATAAATATATATGTGATAAACGCTACTGAAAGATTTTGGGGTCAGCTATATTTTTACTTTAATACAGTTAAATTGATCAAAAAGACTGTAAGGTAATTTAGAGTGTTACAAAAGATTTATATTTCAAATAAACGTATTTATTTTGAACTTTCTGTTTAAATAACCCTAAACGAGCAGCACAACTGCTTTCCACATTGTTCTACACAATGTTTCTTTTGGATCAAGCTTTGATAAATGTATTTTTTAAATATATTAAAATAGAATACAGTACAATAAATATTATATATATATTTATATATATATATATACTTTAAAAATGAATATGATTTATCTAATCAATAAAATTGTGGTAACAGATTACAAGCAATATTATTTATTAAATTGAACAAATTAGAATTGAGTAATAGTTAATCAAATTAATATTCTAATTAATTCTTATTTGTACAATTTAATTAATAATATTGCTTGTAATATGTTGCCACAATTTTATTGATTAGATAAAGCATATTATTTTTTTCAGTGTGTGTATATATATATATATATATATATATATATATATAATTTCCCCTACTTAATAAAAAAAAAAACACATTTAGTTAAAGACGACAGTTGCGATGTTTAATGTGAAATGTTGGAATTTTTTCACAACACTTTATTTTAGCCAAAATGTATTTAGCACAGAGGTTGTGTCCAATGAACAATGGCTAAATTTCCCTGTGCATGAGTTGGATTAATGTACACTTGTTTTCTACATTGCAGAAGAAGAAGAAGAAAAAAAAGTAAAATAGAGAGCTTTCAGTAAAAATATCTATACATCCTTAAAACAGGATTTTACTTGACAAGCAATGTAAGATTGGTATCTCTTTTTCATATAAATATATCTTGAAAATATACTGTATATGTTTTGTTTACTCTATTTTTTGTCTATAAAATTGCTTCTCACTTCTAAGAATCAGACACACACACACAATCACTTTAACATGAACAAGTGAAGGTCTGTTGCAGTGATAACAGGGACTTTCATTAATGAATCTGGTCTTGATGAAGTCTAATTCCTTTAAAAGAAGGTGACGGCAGGTCAAAACTTCACTGCACTGTCCTGCCACTTCTAAGAAGGGGAGAGATTTGAGAGCTTGGGGATAAAAAGTGATTTAGTCTTGTCCCAGTATTCTCTATATCCTTTTCTCTCATTAGTGTCTGTGGTATAAAAAAGATTTAGGTCTCTGCATTTACAAAGTCCTACCTGCGTGAATCCTGCAGAGCACACATGCACCGACTAACCCCCATCCCACATCAGATGTGACTGTGATCTGACACTGACATCACTCTCTCAAACATACAGTCCATAGCAGGAGATTCTGTAAAGTTACTGAACTTTAGTATAATCCAATATATCGACAGCACATTTGCAGGCCAGAGTAATATCAAAAGATTAACATACAGTATCTATATGCTTCCACTCCACTTATTTGCAAAACATACCCCTTACAGTAACACAGTTATTTTATTCTCGCTTATTATTGGTCATTCATACAAACGTCTAAGTATTAAACTTCTGTGTGTAACTCAACTATTTGTTTTACAGACATGAATGATACATCAAATTGTGTTGCAGATGATTTTTTTACCAAGTGAACAAAAAAATGGGCAAAAAATAAATAACAAATTTTAATACTTTTAAAACTAAAACACACTGAAAACTGATGATAGGAAATGTTTATTGAGCATCAAATCAGCATATCACGTGACGTGACACTGAGGTAACAGTGCTGAAAATTCAGCTTTGACGTCACAGGAATAAATGACATTTTAAAATATATTACAACAGAATACTGTACTGTTTAAAACGCAGTCATATTTCAAAATGTTACATTATAAAATATTCATATTTTTACCAACTTCCTGATCAGCCTTCATAAGCATAAGAGACTTCTTTCATATACGAGTCACTGACTGATAAGACTTTTAGTCCATGCATTTAGCTATCCACATCCACCATCTCAGATCAGATAAAATCGTCATGTCCTTATAAGGTAAAGCAGAATGCCGAATACCAGTAAACATATGAGTCAGTTTCCCAGAAATGAACTGATGCCTGATGATAAAAATATAATTAGAAGTGTGGTTTAGTTCATGAACATTAGTAAAACATAGGCCTATTTCTTTTCTGCTTTTACTTGCGAAAATAAATATGTTTTTCTAATGTCAATTTTCATGGTTTTCAGGGAATGCCACACAGTAAATCAGCCATTTATGTTTAAACCAGAAACTCATTTAAAAGAATATATCAGAATGGCAATACGTTTAATGAATCACTGTCTACAACGTCAGACAGCAATATGATTAGCCTTTGGCTTGACTATGTTATCAAACCGCTAATAATGTGTTGCTAATTTCACACAAACATGTTTTCCGTTCGCCATCTCAGTCACTGGCTTCTAATAATCAGCATCCTTAGGCCTCGTCCACACTACTGCGTTTTCGTTTAAAAACCAGAGAATTAAAATGAATAAAAACGTTTAAAAAACGTCCACACCAGCGTTTTATCTGCGTATTAGAATTGATCTCCACCATTTAAAATGACTTAAAACGTCTGAAAACGAGGATCACGTGACCATTCACCAACACTGAGCAAGCGCGTGCCGGTGTAAACTGGAAACGGATTGACTATTCCACAAATTTGATAAAGAAGAAAGTAACGTTAGCTACCTGATGGGTGGCTGAAGAATCAAGGAAGGACATGTCATGACTGATGACACCCAATCATAGAGCCACTGTTTCCTAAAGTCCTCCGTTTTGTCCCGTCTTCACTAAAACGCCCTCGGGAGATTCAAAACGCTAAACGTAGCTGCAGCGTTTCTAAACTTCTCCGTTTTAGGTCTTCGATTTTTCCGTTTTAGTCTGGACGGGAGGTGCAAACGTAGCAAAAGCTCTCCGTTTTTAAACGCAAACGCAGTAGTGTGGACGGGGCCTTAGGAATGCTTTAAACATCATAGAAAGTCGGTGGAGAAAAGCCCCGCCCCCACATTTAGAGGATTGGCTACATGGTTGTGTGATGTAGGAAACAGGGGCGTTTTCAAACCGCATTTTTGAGACTCTTTGTTTCACTGCACTTTTAAGGAGAAAATACTTATGAATTTGTCTTAAAACACATTAAAAACAACTCATGTACATATAAACAACATTGAAAAACGTGATTTTCACCACAAAGGGTCTTTAAAACAAGTTATAACATTTTATGTTTGTTCTGAAGTTTAGGCATGTTTAGATATTTCTGATTAAAAAGTGATTTTTACAGTGTTAGCCTAACTTTCGCCAACACTGCTCATTTCAAAGTCGCCCATTGTATTTTTAAAGACGTGCTGTTTATCATCGTCCTCTCCGCATAATGGCCAACTGATTCTCATCACATGTGCTGCAGTCCCTGTCCCGCCAGTACGCACCCACTGAGGATTAATCATAAAATACTAATTCTTTAATACCTCACCGGCAGGTCGAATGAAACTACGGGTTTCATCTATTACTTTGGATAAGTGTGAATTCAGCACAGTTCAGCAAAGGCAGCCAGGATTACGACCCATGTGATTTGCAAATCACTATTATAAAAACCCACATCAAAATGTATTGAACCAAATTCAGGTCATATTAAAAGAGATTAGGCCAATTGTTCGGAGGAAACAGGGACACAGACCTCTAATAGGTCTGCTGCACAAGGGTTTGAAGTAGAAGGCCTGTAAGTACTGCAAACAAAAATGTAGGCATGTCTCTACATTTTTTAAAAATTGAATAGGATTATACAGCCATGCTTCATTCTTTCTCTGCAATCCTCATGCCGCAAATACTACTACTCTGATAGCAACAAAGGGAGGACCCAGAAGTCCATGTGGTTTCGAGAAAAGGATAAAGTGGTCGCCATTAGTGGACACGGACGTAGTTAACAGTGGTCGCATAACCCCAACGCTCAGCCAGAAGGATAATCTCTTCCCAGAGGCTCTGTGGAGTCCAAGGATTGGCTGTCCAAGAGGTTTCCTCCATACAATCCAAAGCAATAAAAAAAAAATGCACTTAAAGGGATAGTTCACTTTGAAATTAATTTTTGGTATGTTTTATCTTACCTCAAGGGCATCCAATTTTGATATTTTTAGGTCAAACTGTTCTCGTCTATCAGTCATATAATGGAGGTCTATGGTCACCACCTCAAAGAGCATGCACAGAGAAGTCCAAATTAAACATGATTTAATGACTCATAAATGCAAGTACACATTGATGGCCTAAGACACGAAACGAGCGGCGTGTGTGAGAAAACGAACAGCATTTATATCGTTTTTACATCTTGTAACCACAGCCACGTCCAAGTGATCTGAAGGCACGGGCGCTTCGGTCTTGTGATTACAAGAGGTAAAAACGATATAAATACTGTTCGTTTTCTCACACAAACCGCTTGTTTCGTGTCTTAGGCCATCAATGTGTACTTACATTTACGAGTCATTAAATCATGTTTAATTTGGACTTCTCTGTGCATGCTCTTTGAGGTGGTGACCATAGACCTCCATTATATGACTGACAGACAAGAACAGTTTGACCTAAAAATATCAAAATTGAAAATGTGAAAAATACGTCTGTATTATATAGTAGTATATCCAAATTCACAGCACAAAAGAGTAGGCAAAAAGTACCAATAAAGACCTATACTACTGCCGGTGAGATTCTGAATTGCGCATTCGATGGACACTTTACTATCCCATGAGGCCATGGGAGAGGATTGGTGAACGGCAGTGTGACATGACAATGAAATCATGACGAATGCAATATGACCGGATTCCATTTATACATTTATGTACCGGACGTACATTCGTAATGTTGTATTTATCATGTGACCAACCAACACCATTCATATCCTTTCCCATGGCCTCATGGGATAGTAAAGTGTCCGTCGAATGCGCACTTCAGAATCTCATCGGAAGTAATAGGTCATTATGGGACTTTTTGCTTACTCTTTTATGAGTGGTGGGAATTCGGATATACTACCTTTGTCACATACTGTTTTTTGCCTGGTATATTGTTGGGAAGTATGTGATTTCGGAAGCAGCCATACTTTTTTAAACAACCGTGACGTTCATACTCCGAAAATATGCGGTTTTAAAAAAATCAAATACTTTCCTACTATATAGTATGGAAAAACAGTAGGCGAAAAGTACCTGGATGACCTACTTCTTCAGGCGATATAGGCAACACTTTACTATCCCATGAGGCCACAGGAGAGGATTTGTGAATGGCAGTGAAGCAACGCAGCTGATGCTGGCAATGTGATGAAGCAAAATGAATATGAAGTTCAAATTCAAATGTAGCATACTCAGACAGTAGTCTATACGCAATTTCGGACGCACACTGGATATGTAGAATAAAACCACTATTTTATAAATCTGCTTTCATTTTCTCTACATTTTTGTTTGTTTGCAAAACATTTTGCACCAGAGTATACCTTTAATAATCAGTTATTGAAATATCCACATCTAATTATTATTCAGAATATTCTGTTATTATAAAACTTAACTAAACTAAATACAGTTAAAACCATATTTCAAAATTTGCTAAATATAATATAAAATGTCTTTTATTTGCATTTTACACTAAGTTTTGAGTTGTATTTGTTTGGTTTTGGAAAGAGTAGCTCATGTTGAGGTTTTCAAATATGAATCCCATTAATTTAGTGTTGAGGAGAAGAAAAAAAAATATGGAAAAGCATTACCATGTTGTTGTGTTTGACACATTAGTTTATTTTGCACAAATGACGTTGCTGCATGGGAAGAGACATTGCCTTCTTTTATTGCCTAAACTTAACTAAACTAAATTTAAAAGCATATTCTAGTTTGTTTGTTACTATATTCTGTTTTCTTCGGGCATTTTTATCAAACAAAAAAGACCTGAGTTTGCAGTCTATAAAAAAATGACGCTATAAAAAATAACGTTATAGTTTCCTCATCCAGACTACCGGTGTAAAATGGTCTAACTCTAAATAATGCTGCGGGATCGGTAATCCTCTGACCTGCAGACTCAAAGCCGCTTCTCTGGCAGGTTTTAAACGTGATAGTGAGTGAGTGTGCTGTTGAAAGTTGCTGTATGTCTCCCTCCCTCCACTGCACTCGTCCATTGACTGTGAGCTAAGCGAAATTACAAATGCTACTACGGTTAAGGACACGCTCATGAATATTAAGAAGGTCGCGCTAACGTTGCCTGGTAACCTTCCAATAGCGCAGTCAAGGTTCATAAATATTAATTAGCCTACGCAGGCGTTGTTCGGTAAACCTTCCAATAGCGAAATGCCTGCCTAATGCATATTAATGAGCTACGAGGGCCAGTCCAATAGTGACAGTTTGAGTTATGAATATTAACAACTAAGGTTTACCGTAGTAGATTTCATAACTTTGCAGTCGGGCCTCTTGAAGAGGACTGTGGGGGAGGGTCACGTGACGTGTGTACACACAGTAGAGTTCAGCACCACTCGATTCGTAGTAAGATCATCAGCGTCCTCCCCTTTCCAGAACAAGCTTTGACGCACCAGAGACGAATGTTCCATATGCAACTGTGTTTACGCCACATATTGGCGACTTAATCGATCGCATTTTTTTACTTCCTTTATTTTATACGAAGTCCTGGAAGTCTAGCTACCGATTTGGGAGCTTTTGCCAAAGTATCCGAAGAGAAATGTCAATGGAAATACAGCAGAACCCGATGCCTCCGTAGAGAGCTGTCTCTCAGTGCCAAGAACTGGTCCTCTGGTGAGTAGGTTAGCCAATACCTCTCTGTGTTGAGTTAAAAGTTGTTTTAAAGTAGCATTTACCGCTGTATCTAGTCAGCAGGGATGAGAGAGCTCGCTAAATCAGTCACACGCATGTTAGACACTTTATTAGTTTACCGCTCTAATAGTGGCATATATGTGACAGTTAACAGCAACATCAGACAGGTTAAACTCAAACGTGGAATGCCCGGATGAAAAACAAACCAATGATATTCACTGCTCAGTCAAACATAGGCTACGCATCTTTTTAGTCATTTTAAAGATTTTGTTCCCCGCTGTAAGTTTACCAAAAAAAACAATTAACCTTGGTTTTACTACAAAAAATAAATAAATAAACGTGTTATAAATAAATAAATAAATAAATAAAAATGTAACCACAAATTAACCATGGTTTTGCTACACTGAACAAAGTTAAACCATGGTATTTATAGTAAAACTGTGGTTATACAAATGGTAATCCATCTGCACCCCCCACAAAAAACAAAACAAAAAAAAAAAAAAAACACGGTTACAACACTTTTACTACAATAAAACCATGGTTAATATAATATTATAATATAATATAATATAATATAATATTGTTTTTGAGATTATGCGCAGGTATAATTATACATGCTATTTACAATGTTCCTGGATTAACATTCAACATATTTATTGATCCTGAAACAACGTTTTAATCAACCAATCAGATTTAAGGGACACATTTTTAATGTCAAGTTTAGGCTTACAACCAGGGTTTGGTGCTTCTACATTCAGTGAAATTCACTATCATTTCCCTCTGATTTAGGTTTAGGATTAGTATAATCGGACAGGAATTTAATGCAGGATCAGCGAAATATTTTGATCCAGGAACATGTCTTGGCAAAATAAAGGTTGTAATTTGCTTAAATTATCATTGACTTATTAATGACCTTTGAGAAGAAAACCACTGTTTTGTAGTGTAATATTTAGCCTACTAAATATAATCAAAATATCTTTTATTTGCATTTTACACCACATTTTGTTCTGTATGTGGTTGGTTTTGGAAAGAGGAGCACATGTTGAGGTTTGCAAACAATAACCCCAATAATTTTGTGTTGAGGAGTAAAAAAATAATAATATGGAAAAGCATTACCATGTTTTTTTTTATTTGCCTGAAATTTATTTTCGCACTGACACACTAGTTTATTTCGCAATGCACATGTGGACAAATGATGTTGCTGCATGGGAAGTGACATAGACTTCTTTTTACTGCCTAAACAACCAAAAACCCCAGAGAGGCTACGTTACTGTTGGATCAGGTCCATGTAGGACTTGTAAGAGGATGGCAATGTGCCTATGAGTTCTGTTGAAGATCGCAGACGTCATATGAGACAGCTGAGAGAAGCATGCCCCTTTGCCTAAAGACATTGGCGTGCGCTTTATTCTCCAACATGGTCTGGACTGTCCAGCTGGACATGAGAGGATTACATAATCTGTTATCCAGTTTTCTCATATGTGTCAAAATTTGATCCATCATATTCTCTTCAGTCCATATATTTTATTCCAAATGTGGAGATATTTCATTCCAACAACCCACAATGCTAAGACATGATGTACACACCAAAATATAATGTTCACCAGTAAACAAATTGTGCTATGCAAAGCGTACGTGAATCGCTTTGAATAACTAGGTAGGATCCTGCAGTGAATTTGTTTTTCTCGGTTCAAGACTGCGATTAAACCATGCTCAAACACCCAGAGTGATCTCTCCTGCTGATAACTTAACAAAGAAGCGCTGAGAGAACATGCCGTCCCAGGGGTCAGCACAGCTGAGGTGGTGTCAGGACGACTAACACAGAAATGTGCAGGAGGTTTTAATTGAGACGTTTGTTTGTTTCACAGCTTCAGGAAAGTATTGTAAGGCTTAGAAAAAAATGTCCTGGTCTTCAGAGCCCTGGCTGCGCGTAGGTGATGAAAAGCATGTAAGAATGAATTGCGCTGTTGGAGGACGAGAGATTGAAACGAGTCTAGTCGGTGTTGAATAAACTTACTTGCAGATGCAAAACGCGAAAGATCCCTCGGGCTCTGCAAGACCCATACTTTTTAACTTTGAGCTCACATGGCTGAGGATCCGTTTATTTTACATTTCCAGCTGAATATTAAATATTTTAATATTTATGAGGCACACTTTGATCTCTATACCAAGATGCCCACTACTACGATCTCTGCCTGTTGCAAGGTTGGTTTTGGAAGAGGGTTGCTGGGCAAAACACCATACATAGTAAACTGACCTTTGTGTTGTTTCACTGTCAACAATATTTTGTTAAATTTACAGTAAAAAAGGCAGCTGTGGTTGCCAAGTAGCCTACTTGATTTTCCAGCAGAATTGGGCTACTCTTAAATTGTTGTCGCCGGTTAAAGGTTTGATATATTGCATAAATTGCATTTCACTATTGAATATTTTGGTTATTTTATATTCTACCAATGTGGTATGATGAGTTTTGTGGGTGAGGGGAACTTTGTTTGAGCTCATGTGTGCTGCAACATGACATCATGACTTTGCGTAAACATACACGCCACTTTCAAGTCAAGTGACGTGTTATCTATACGCATTTTTTTGAGCTATCCGCGTGTATTTCCACGCCGAAACGAACCGTCATCTTTTGCGAGTATGTCTACGCCGTTAAATGTTCGAGTGATTCCGCGTGTATGTACACGCCATTAAATGTCCGAGCGAAACGAAGCAAAATGTAGATCTACATCTGGGAAGCGATAACTTTTTCCTAGGATGGAATGGTAGGGGAAGACTAATAAATGCTATTAACCCCAGTGACGGGTAGGTTTAGGGACTGGATTGGGGTAGGTCATATATTTATATATACAGTAATGTAACGTTAAGTCAACGGCGTTGATAAACACGCTGAAAAGCGATTATACGTGTTGATAGCACGGCAAAAATGGAAATACAGTGCTTCAGACCAAAATATTTTTCGATCAAAATTTGAGAGTGTGCGATTGAATTTTACATCCAGTCGCACATGTGCGCCAAGTAAATTTGCCACACGTTAAACTCGTGGTTAAGCGTGGAAGGGGCGCGTCAATGAATCCGTGCCAAGAATAGCGCGCGTCAACGTCTGTGGGAAGGAGACGGAGACAAATATAACAACCTGCTATGTGCGTCTGAGCAATAAGCGATCTATTGACTCGTTACTGACCGCGAACGCAAACAAAATGAAAGTGGAACGAAAATACGCTACTCATTTATGCTTCACGGACCGTTTATTAGTTTGGACCTATAATAGACAGAGCAGCGCATAGCCTTTCTTATGGAGCAGCGCCCCGAACTGACAGTAAAATAAAGTCGTGGGCCGATATCGATCACGCGACACTGTTACTAGGAGATCCAGTGAAGAAATCCATTGAATTCGCCTCAGGATTAATAACATTATCGCTACGAGATCCAGTGAGAAACATTCCGATTCGGCGCAGAGTTCTGTAATAAACCAGATATCAGATCAAACTGCGCTGACGTGGAAACCAGGAGAAACACTTATAGAAGGCTTTTAACCCACAAATCAGCAACATTCACCATGGATTTTGGCTATTAAGGCTAAATGTGACAGAAATAGTCAAACGCTTACAAGTAGCCTACACATGTTTTTCCAGCTGTTTAAAACTATAATATAATATATAAATGTTTAATTTTTTTGTATTTTTTATGTGATGACCAACACATTTTTTTTGTTCATCCTTCAACTATTGTCCTAAATTGAAAAATTTTATGTTGGAAAACTCTTATTTAAACACTTTATTGTTAAAAAAATAACAATAATACCATTGTAAACAGAAGGATGTTTATTGGCTATTTTCACTCCTTAATATACATGTTTTCACTACTTTTATTTTTTAATTAATATTAAGACATTATAAATGATAATAACTAAAGTTAATTTCATCTACACCCTAAATTAAGCTTAGTGACTTCTTGTTAGCCCCAGTGCTACAAGATTATTTTTATTTATTTTTTTTTTTTTTGTGGAACTCAGTGTAAGTTCTCATTTGAGGTGCTGCTGCCCTCAAATTTGAGTCTGGAGCCCTGTAAACTTAAAATAAAACAGCATATCATAATATCATAATGTTAAGTCTATTTATTATTAAAGAATTTGTCAGTTTTACAGTTATTTGGGGGGAAATTTGAATAATTGCATTTCAAGCTGATTTCAGGTGTGCCCCTAAATGTTCTCCTTGCGCTCCTAAAATTTTCAGTCGGGGGCAACAGCGCTCCTAGTAAAAAAAGTTAGTCTGGAGCCCTGAAATATGAATTGGCGTGTCATATACTCCATTTCATGAGATCAGTCTGGTGCTCCCGTATGAGTAAATTAAGATTTTTAATACATTAAGTGTTTATTTTTCCAATAAGTTTGGCTTTAGTTAGTTATTAGATGCTATAAATACCTGGTGTAACACCTGCTATGCAGGAGCGGGCTACAATTTTTTTTTATAGCGGAAGTGGAGACTTCCATTGTTAATCACTGAAATGTTTTAACATGCAGTACCATATTCAGATTTCTAGACTTTTTTTTTTGTCATTTTTGTTTATGTCAATTTTGTGTGTCATCTCTTTTTGATGAAATGTGTCGTCTTCCTCATAGTCTGCTTTCTATTTCCGAAATCTCTGAAGCTGAAATACAGAAGTGAAAAATGTATTGTAACACAATTTGACTGCAGAGCACCCAGTCCTCATCTTTGTTCCCTATTCATTACCTAAACCCACACACACACACAAAGCTCAGAAAATGCAATCATGTGACATCACTCAGCCGATTCTGAGAATTTGCTGTGCATTCCAGTGGGGATACGAGGGGTGTGGAGCAGCCCTCTTTTCATCTGCCGGGCGGAGGGTTGACTACTTCTCTGAAAGTGTCAAGTGCATTTAGTTCGACTCCCACAACACTCTTCAACCAGATGCATGGTCAGTCAGCCAATATCTCCTGTTTGTTTGTTTGAGGGAGGTACAGTCGATAACAGGGGTCATTGAGAGGTACACACAGTGGATGGACACTTAACCATTGCAGGCATGCTTGGTCATGCATGTGAGCCGTGAGCGTTGGAAGAACTATTCTCGAAATGACTGTAAGCAGTGATGTCAGCTACCTTTGGCACCCGCTCAGGAATGCTTCAGTCTTCCAGCATAGACAGTGTTTGGTCATGGTCTCTTGAGGCAGACAAGATGCGGGTTGCAAGTTTGAAAAAGCAAGGAAGTACAGTAAGGATGGGCAGGATGGTTGAATAAAAAAATGTACAATACCGTTAAAAAGGTTTGGGATCGGTAAGATTTTACTAGAATGCATTTATAATGTTGCTAAAGATTTCTATTCAACGTTGATCATTATAAGAAATGATTCTTACACACCAAATCAGCACATTAGAATTAAGATTAATTGTACATCTTGTGAAAAGGAATTTTACCACCTATTTAATATATCAACCAAATTTTCTTATTTGGGCCGATAACGGTAACATTACAAATACACATATCGGCCGATACCGATATGGTGGCCGATATATCGTACATTCCTATTTACAAGTTTTTCCTCTAGACCAGAGTTTAACCCTTTTAAGTGTTGCCATGAAGATATTTACTGGTAGTTGCATACCGGTTAGACCACAACATAAAGTGCTGCATACAGAGCTGTTGATGCAGAAAACATGCTGGTTCACCATAGGTGTGTGACTACAAGGTGAAAAGGGCAAATGAGTTTCCACACCCTCTGGCGAAAGTCATAGTGGAGCAATCCATGGCTGCCTGTCTCCAGGCTAAAACAGCCGATCTGTGACTATGTTATGTAAGCAGACATAGGGACATGCACTCAACTTTCATTATATCTGCTCAGATGTGCTGCTCCAACTTTCAAGACCAAATATATGTTGACATGCACAAAAAAGGGAAAGTTTGATCTGCAAAATATGTTCTTAAGACATTTGGGCTGTCACAATTTCTTTTTTTCCTGACAATTGTCATGCAGATAATTATGAGCAATGATTTCATTGAATTGTTGTTGGTTTTTATGTTTTTATTATGAATGTAGGCTATATTCACTTAACATATATTCTATAGTCACTTTAAATTTAGTAAGATTGGACTATATCGTATCTAAACATATAGGAACAAATTATTTTGGCTAGGACACATTCATCACATATAACAAACACAGGGGAAACCAGGTTCAAATTTGGCTTTCCTCCTTAACTTTGCTCCCTTTACCAATTGTTTACATAAAATAAGCCAGGAAGCTAATTAAATAAAATAAAGCAATAATGTAGCCTGTGTGTAATCATACAAAAGTGTTGTTCACATTGTGAGAGCTCACTTAGAGCGTTATGTCATTTTGTTTTAATGAGTGGACTGCAGAGCAGCTCTCTGCATGTGCCCGCGCTGTGACCTCATCCTGAACTCAAACTTCACACTGTGTGCATCCACTGCTCCCCTGACATGTTACATCTCATGCCATAAATCTGCCTGCCTCACAGCCTTAGAGCTGAATTATGCCATCCTTTGGTCACAGCACGTGTATTGTCACCGCCCAACGAGCCAAGGTGCCGAGCTGGAGAGGTGGAACCTATTGTTATGGAAAGAAACATCTGATGTCATATAATGGTCTCCTTCCTCTTTTTTGTACAACATGATCCTTAATGGCACGTGGTGACTGGAATGAAGTCCTTGTGTTTAGGGTTTTACTCTCCATTGCAACATATTGTGCCGAGTTGAATTCAGTCTGAAGTGGAAATAATGGCGTTTCTCCAAATCGAATGCTTGTACATTGACTGTGCTGTTTATGTATGGTTTCAGTTTTCTTCTCTATGAGGTGTTAACAACAGCAAGAAGGTTTTTGCAAGCCATTGATCAGGAAACACCTAGAAAGTATGAAAAATTCAAAAACATAAAGTTGTAAACTTAGAGAAATGGTCTGTGCATTTGTCCGCTATCCATCATTTTGTTCAAGGGTGTCCATTCTGCTCTTGCAGTTCCCAACTTCCAACAGAGTTTAGATTTATCATTGAATTTACCCGTGAATTAACAGGTAAGTTTAAAATATTCTAACTAACCCCCCAGCGTGATTTTTTCAAGGTGACCATTTTTTAGAACTCGCCACTTTAATGTTTCCATGGTGACGCGTCATTGCTTGTCACGTGACATAGCACAACCACAACACGGCGCTGAATGAATGATGATCTCCTTTTATGTCACTTTTCCTTTTTTATTAAAAATATTCACAAATGTATTGGCTATAGCATGAAACACTGATATTTTGATATATTCGTCAAATATGTGCAAGTGGATGTGTTTTGTTGTTTAAACATCTTTATAACCAGACTGATCTCACGAAGTAGCGTGTGTATGACACGCCAATTCGTATTTCCATTTTTGGCGTGCTATCAAGATGCATCGCTTTTCAGCGTGTTTATGAACGCCGTTGACTTAACGTTATTACTGTATATATAACAGCCCGTTCTCATCCTTTAACGTCATATAGAACACTATATGCAAAAACGGCGAAATACTACGCACATGGCATCCTTTATCGTTAATATAACACGCGAACCCAAGACGTTATAAATCCTTTAGCGTGAATATGACACGCACACCCTACCCCACACCTAAACTTAGCCCTCACAGCGCGTGTTATATTAACGATAACGGGTGCCATGTGCGTAGTATAGCGCCGTTTTGTCATATAGCGTTCTATATGACGTTAAAGGATGAGAATGCGTTGATCTGTAAATATGTGACTTACCTCAACCCCGTCCCTAAACCTAACCGTCACTGGGGTTAATGACTGTTCCCTTACCATCCTAGGAAAAAAAAAGATCGCTCCCCAGATGTACATTTTGCTTCGTTTTGCGCGGACATTTGACGGCGTGTACAGACACGCGGAATCACTCGGACATTAATGGCGTAGACATACACGCATACACGTGGATACACGCGGATAACTCAAAATGGAAGAGATAACACGCCACTTGACTCGAAAGTGGCGTGTATGTTTACGCAAAAGTTATGATGTCATGTTGTTATAATGATCGCGTTAGTTGAGCTGCACAATGCGTGGCGCCATTTTAGTTTGTTTTACAGTTCAGAGAATCGGATCTGTTGGATTTACAACGTCAATTCCTCCACTTCTAACAAAATACATGAAAGTAAGTGGCCCCCCGTGAACTAAGAGATAAATAGTTGTGATCGTACGTGTGAAAGAGTTAAACACTCCTGAATTAGCTAATCAAGGATTTCAGGATTACTAGAAATTCCCAGTCAGTGTATTGGAGCTGAACTCTAAAGTAAAGTGGCACTCAAAGAGCAGGATTGGACACCCCAGATCTCGTCTGGTAATAAAAGCATTTTACAATTTTTAAAACCGATGAATTAACATTGTGCTCATGTTCTTTCTTACAGCTGATTCAGAAAGACGGAGCAGACACCTTTGGAAAGTCTAGCGATGTGGAGTTGCATGGTTTACAATGAGACGGACGACAACGTGGACCTCCGGCTCTGCCAGGACTTCGGACTCATTCTGTCCGTCTTCTCTCTGGTGTACCTCATTGTCTGCTTTCCACTGGGGCTTTGCTACAATGCCCTGCTGGTGGTGGTCAACCTTTCCAACAAGGTCACCATGACCATGCCTGATGTCTACTTTGTGAACATAGCCATTGCTGGTCTGGTGCTCAACTTGGTGGCTCCAGTAGAGTTGCTGGGTCCCAGTTTTACACGCTGGCCAATGTGGGAATACAACAACGAGATCTACATCACCCTCCTCATTCTCTTCAACATCTCCTCTCTGGTCATCATGTACTCCACTACCTTGCTCAGTCTGGACTATTACATAGAGCGAGCTCTTCCTCGCACCTACATGTCCAGCGTCTACAACACCAAGCATGTTTGCGGCTTTATCTGGGGCGGTGCCGTACTCACCAGCTTCTCTTCGCTGCTCTTCTACGTGTGCAATCACGTCTCCACTAAGATCATCGAGTGCTCCAAGATGCAAAACAAAGAGGCGGCTGACGCCATCATGATGTTCATTGGGTATGTGGTGCCGGCGGTTGCCGTGCTTTACGCGTTCGTGCTGATCCTCCGGATCAGGAAGGAGTCCACGCCTTTGGACCAGGACTCTGGGAGGCTCGATCCTTCAATCCACAGGTTGCTGCTGGCCTCGGTGTGCATGCAGTTTCTTCTATGGACTCCGTACTACATGACCTTACTGGTGCACACAGTGGCTGGAGCTCCTGGGAGCTATTCCAACAGGCAGCACCTCACCACATACTTCTTCCTGAGATGTTTATCCGTGCTGCTCGCCTTCTGCAGCAGCTTTGCCATTCCCCTCATGTACAGGCAAATGAACAAGAACTTTTCGCATAAACTTCAGCGGCTCCTAAAGAGGCTGCACTGCGGGGACCAATCGTGTCCTCACGAACGCTCCACAGTACAGCAGGTGGTCACATGACCTGCTTTCGGACCTGCTTCTCCCTCACTAGCACTTACTCCGAATCCACAGAAGTAGAGCCAGCATATGAACCTGGATATATATATATTGTGTGCAGAAAGGAAGCTCACCACAAGGTGTGTCTCTGTGAATTTTTGTAACCTCTGTGACACTTAACTTTATTTGTCCATCTCTGCGGTGAGTGGGCGACCAAGAAGAAACCACTAAGTGCTGTTTTTGTGTAAGCTATGTCTGTTCTTTGGGTTTTTGGGGCCTGGGGAGATCTCAACCCATCCGATGGTCCGTTCGGTGGAGGGGGAAAAGGTTGAACGTGTGTAATCTGTTACAGGATATGTGGCATAGCCTTCTAATGTGATGCTTTTAGACCAACCCATTCCCTTTTAGCTCAAGGCCAATCTCTGTGTTGTGATCCACAACAGCATAAGCTCTTCAGTCACACTTTCTATAAAAACTCTCTGGTAGACGCTAGTATACACGATATAATTACCTCAATTTCACACACCATTACATTACAACTTTTACACCATTGCATTACAACTTTTACAGCACCCAGAAATAACTCAGTGAGACTGATATCAGGGAGCGGGAAAGATGTGTTTGTAGATGTGTGTAGTTGTGTGCGGGTGGTTGTGTGTTCTCGAGTGCTCGCTGCTAAGGTGATGTGCGTCATAACTGCTCATATTAAATGTATAGCTTTTTGAGGCGAAGCTATAGACATTATCTACTAGACAGTTTTATGGTCAGCTCGTTAGAAATTGAATCTTCTTTGTTAAATACTTGTTCAATCATTAGCCTGTTACTACTGTAATTATTATCCATGCGACAGAAGGAAGTGGTTAACAATTCACACGTTTGAGAAGTGAATTCAAGCTGCATCAATACAATCAAACATATTTGATTTCGTTTAACAGGTTTACTTTCAAGAAGAAACCCACTCAGATTTGTTCTGGAACATACAGTTAATGAGTATTGATCTGACTTTATTGCTTCTAAATCATTAATCAGATTGGGAAAACGTTTTTTCTGTCTGATGTGTATATCCAAAAAGAAGTAGCTTTTATTGAGATTAGTTGCATGAATAATTGAATCGTATGCATATATAGAGAAATATGCATCAATGCTCTCAAGACTGGGAGAAAATCGTAGGCGTTCCCAGAAAATAATACTGGCAGGATGAGAAATAGAACAGTTTAAGCTAGTGAATGGTATATTGTTATCGAAAATGTCTTTACTCTTGTTTTTTTCTTGAGTCAGTGGATGCAAAATTAGTATATTTTGAAGAGAAAGCACTGTATGTGAATGGAAGAGTGGAAGAGAATGTGTCATTTAAATCCACTTTTGTATGCAAGGGAAAGAATGTATTTAAAGATTTAAAGTCATGGAGGGGATTCAAATCAGTTAACCCTCAATCATAAACGATTAAGCAGCATCAAATCTCAATGTTATGGCTGTTGTTAGTTTGCTAATGCCAGTATGCATCATATTAAGAATGTGTATATATTGTACTTCAGAGATTTACTGGGAAAAAAAAAAAAAACAGACATGCCATTTTAGAGTACAGTATTATTTTCTCAGAGATTTATTTAGATACTAAAGTGTCAGTCATCCTCTGTCCCATACTGAGTCAAAGACTTGTTCAATAAACTAACATGAATATAATCCCGCTCGGCTTTTCATTGACTCGCGACCTCAAAGAACATCACAGTGTTCCAAATGACAAATGATGAAGCTTGTTTTGGTTTGCATCAACAAAACAGGTATGGATGACTACACTCGCACATACCAAAGAAAAGAAAATAAATATGGTTTATGTAACAGATGCCAGAACATATTTTTCTTGCTTGGTGCGAGCCTCAGAATAGTGCCAGGCCCCAGGAGCACAAACCACACTGAAATGTTCTTTGGCAGACTGATTTTGTTTCAAAGATACGTTCAGCTTGTTCTTCATTTGGCAACTCTTCATTTCTTGAAAACTCATTTTTGATGCATATTAAAGCTGCTGTCCGTAACTTTTTTTAATGGAAATAATCCAAAAATAATTATAAAAAAAAAAAAAAACATATTCTGCCAGTTGTTCAAAACTATCTGCTTGCCATAGCTAGATTCAAAACGCTTAGCTTGTAATAATGATTTTAATTCCAGTGGGGTCATTAGATTTCGAACAGAGATGGCGACAAAGAGGAAAAGCTGAGGACTGCAGCTTTAAATACTTCACTAAGAGGTTTTACTGAAGAGTTTGAGGTTGGCTAAGTTCAAATCTCAAGTGGAAACTGCATTGCAAAAACAATGATTGTTTTCAAACAATCTCCGACCGCCATTGGTCAAAAAACAGATAGCCCCGCCCCAAACTCAAGCCCTTTGTTAAATCAATATTGCTGTTGTCTGGCTGGTCAGGAAGCCTAAACAAACACAAACCAAATTGCCAGTAGCCATGTTTCCATTGACACTTTTTTATCCGAATTAAGTGATATCGAATAAAAAATGCCTTATGGAAACAGTAAAATTCGATGACATTTCATGAAAATCGACTAAAATGAAATGCGTTCGGTCTCATCGGATTTTCTCTCGATCGATATACGGCTAATGCGATAAAAGCTGATGGAAACGTTATTTGCCGAATAAATAATGAATTGCGATTAGGTTTTATGCCCTTTTTTGGTTGCAACACGCCAGAAGACGAGTTCATTTCCGGCCAGTCTGTTTGCGCACACATGGCGGATGTCAACAAAGACAGATGTAAGTGGACAAAGCAAAACCACGATCTCCCAGAACTGATGGAGCGCTCGTTCCCACACCACAGTCACCTCCGCTGTCGTCGGTCATTTACGTGCATCGGCATCATCTTTTCTTAGGTTAGTTTTGCTTGTTTTTACGTGGCTTGGTTGAATTCTAATGTAGAATGTGGTCTGTTATTTCTGGTTAACAGACTGCGGCGTTGCTATAACACACCGTTGCTATGGACGCAGTTCAGAGACGGGAACAGACTATTTTCTTTAGCAGAAGCAATACTCGTTTTTAAATCAATAAACTCGTTTTTAAGTCAATATTTTGTGTCAAATAATTGATTTATTTATTTGGTTGATGAGCAGGATAATATATAGCGAGGCGGTTGTTATGGCGAGTACCGCTTCAACAACCGCCTCGCATACATTATCCCATATGTCGCTATCAACTGGCACATAATAAGCAGGCTTCAACTTGTGAATTTTTGGTAGATGGCGCAATCCGTTTTGTCTAACAAAACTTTGTTCGCAAAAGTTTGCTTGAATGTTGTTCGATTCAGTGCGAAAATGAATGGAAACATCTTAAAATGTCTCAAATCAATTCGATATACCAATTTGATCGCAAAACAGCATGTGACGTCACTACGTACAGGTTTTTATTCGCTTTAAAGCCGTTTTTCACCAGCTTTATTCGCATGTGTTTTTTACCGAACTTCAGATAATTCAAAGTGGATGGAAACATGGCTAGTGTTACACATTTTGGGAAATCACATTTTAACCAACCAATCAAGAAAAAGACATTACTTTATTGCGATTTTGTGAAAGTTAGATATCTTTTTTTTGTTTGTCGTTTCAACAGGAATACACACTTCCAAAACCACCTAAATGTTTGTGTAAGTTGTAGAGAGACTCAGTCCAGTGTTGACTATTTGAATGATTTACAAGACGCTGAAGTGTTGACGCTCGCAGAATAAGAATTCACCTGGGTTTTGTTATATACTGACTCGCAGAGGGGGGGCACCTCCAGTCAACAGAGTCAGCAGTATGTGTGTGTGTGTCTGGAACGAAGCAAGATCGGTCAGAGTGGGAGTAGACCGAGGGGCCCCATTCAGGCCTCAGCACTGTGTGCAGTCTCTCCAAAGTGCCTGTGGTGTCCCCAAACCAAGCCACGAAAGAGGAACATTCTAGGCGTTCTGAGAATTGTTTTGGCTTATGAACACCCCCAGCACAACATATCCGCCTGTCACACAACACAAGCACAACATTGTCCAATACGGAACAATGGAGCCGGGTGTGTGCCGGAATGTTGGAAAAGGAACCAATGAGGAAGCAAGAAAAATTCCATGTTGTTTGAAGTAATACTTCCAATATTGATTGTAAGAGTGTTTCTAACTGGCACTGTTTTCTTTTTGTTCGAAAGTCACATTAGTTTTTAAGGAAGGTTTGAAACTTTTTACCATGCCTTCATTTATTGGTTTTATTTTCAATGAAGAAATTGTAATGTTTTACCCTTGTCCCAAACTTTCAATCTTAATATATAAAATCAATCGTAAAAATATAAATAATTGTGTGAAGTGAAATATGTGCGAACTGCATCATTTCCAATCAGACTGTTTTGTTTTGTTTTTTTTTATATTTAATTAAGTGTGTATTTAGGATGAAGATGAAGGTATTGACCATTTTATTTCAAAACATGTTTAAAACGTAATGTCCAGTACCTTTATTTTCACAACAGGGTTAATTTAAAATTACATAAAGTATTGGTGAATTATCTAAATCTATCTAGAGTTTATTTTCTAAAGTTTATTCACTGAAACTTCACAGGGCCAAAAGACGTAAAGAAACACCTATAGGGTGCAACGTGTAGCAAGGAGCTTTACAGACATATTGTGCAGTTGTAGTATTTTTATTTTTATTTTTTTCAATAGATCCGTCAGTCAAACTGATCTTGACTGGCCACATTTGTAATTACTTTAGGGTATGAAATTTGAGCTTAACCAAACGGAGGCACCATTGCATTAAGGGTAGCCCTTTAATTTGAAGTTATTATTTCACTGCCTCCGCATGCCTTTGGTTCATGTTCAAACTTTTTTTTTTTTTTTTTTTTGCCAAACATGCAAAAATTGTTTTATGTTATACATCATCCGAAAGCTGAATAAACAAGCATTCTATTGATATGGTTTGTTAGGATGGGACAATATATTGTATCTATACCAAGATACTATTTGAAAATCTGTAATCTGAAGGTGCAAAAAAATCAAAACATTGAGAAAATTGAGAAAAAGTTCTACATTTATGTTCTTTATTGTGCTGCAGTCACTACACTAACTAATATATAAAATAAATATATAAAATAAATCTTTTATATATTTATGGTAGGAAACTTATTAAATATCTTCATGGAACATGATTTTTACTTAACCCCTTAAGTGTAATTCCCCTTTTTTAAATATACATGAAAATGCACATTTCAAACTTAAATGGGTGTAATTCAAGAACGCTTTGGAATATAGACGTTTTGGTCTCGTTTTAAAGAAGACATTTGGCAGATTTTTGTAGAAGTGAAATAGATTATGTAGGAGTTTGTTTATGAAAATGTACAATATATAAAAAAAATAATTATTCATATTTTATATAAAATGTATATTATTCAAAACCTGGGTGACTCTAAAACTGAAAAAATAAATAAATAAATAAATAAATAAAGATCAAAGCCAAAAATTCTGAACAAGTGTTTAAAATTTTAGGTTGATATCTCAAAAAATGAGCTTTCAGTGAGATTTTGTTTGAGCGCAGTACCAAACTTTTTCACTAGGGCACAACCAGACTCCATTACTGCCCATATAAGTGCACCTTCATTTCCATACGTGTTTTGAGTGATATGAACCATTATTTCCACAATTTTCATACAATTTATGAAGTAGACCTCGAAGTAATATGAGAAGTTAAGCAAATTTTTATATGAATTCAAACTCTCAAACACACACATACAAATCCAAATCCAAATGGACAATTATTATTTTGATGGAATATTGCAGTGTTTATTACAAATGACTGACGGTGGACAAAGTCAAGTTCTGCACTGCGGTTTTTCAGAAGCCATTTCCGCTTCAACTTTAATGCCTGGCTGGCTGTACATTATCCCATGCATATTGCATCCGATGAAGTTAAAAGCCTTCAATCGCCCAACAGGACAGGCTTTCCAGAGACAGGCAGACGAGGCGTTTAAGTCGCCTCCCCCACTAAAGTACAGAAGCATCGCCCCACTCTCAGAAATCCACACCTCAAAGTTCAACATCCTGTTGGTATGTCCCACCAAAACAGAAGGCAAACATGTTTTGGTGATATTAAAACACGCCATGTTTAATCTCTTAATGGCAGCTCTGACCATTCCAGTGGCCTCAAGAAATGATTTCACAGCCTCCTTAATCTGAGAGACTCCAAATCCAATGACAAACAAGCAAGAGCTTTGCACAACAGGTTTTAAATCCCCCATATTGTGTAACACATCCCGAATAATGCCTCAACTCCGGACATTAGCTCAATTTACCCCGAAGAAAACCGGGGTCTCTAATGTTCTCTGGTCTTGTTTCAAAGTAAACTTGGGTTGAGCTTAAAAAATAATTGTTTCGCAGAGACCGGCTTAAATCAGCCAAACTAGACCACCAAGGTTGCACATTTGGTTTGTCTCCTAAAGTTTTTGCTGTTTGACTTGGCGCTCATCCAGATCCCTCGTTTAAATTAGGACAACAATTCCTTTTAGAGGTTCAAGGTCACAGCAGGCAATGCAACCGAATCAGCTGATCCACAATAAAAACAACCGAGTGATACAATCACAGCCAGACTAAAAGTGAAAATGTTTCTATCCAATGGCTTGACCTGGTTTAAAACTGTCAAAATGTCTGAAGTTTCTGTATGACATTATAAAAATGAGCT